TTTTACCATTAAAACCTACTGAAAATACACATATGAATACTGAAGGTAGAACAGCAATTATTAAACAAGCATCAATTAAACAAATACAGACACATTTATTCGCATTAACTAATTCACAAGAAGTCAACGTATTAAATACACAAATAACAACAATAATTCAACAAGTTATAGATCATATAAATAGCACGAATATTAGTACTAATGATACAATTGAAACTATTTTGGATAAACAAAAGCAATTACAACTTGCCTATAGCATCAAACTAAAAGATGATGAAACACAAAAAAGCTTAACAAACACTTCAGTATTTGAACATCCATTTATAGATAATACAATATATACAGGTACAGAAAATGAAATTAAAATAGCAAAACATATAACATTTCAACGTTTTCAAAGTCAACAATTATCATATTTTGCATTACAATCATTATTATCAGTACTACTTGTATTAATTAAATCTGTACATAAAACAGATTCTACTATTATTTATCAAATATTAACATTGACAAAACAATTTATACAACAAATACCAGCAAGATATTTATCTTCAGATACATTTAAACAATCAAGTCTATTTACATCATTAAAACCATTATCTAATTATATACAAGAGTTAGCTGTACAAACCGAAGATTTAACAGCGAAAAAACAAGCTATTGAAATATTATTGAGCTTTGCTGTAGCCAAAGTATCGTTTATAGAATTATTACCATTAATAACAAAATTAGTATTAGATAGAGATAACATAAATATTTATGATGTTCGTGGTTTATTTTTACAATTAAATGAATGGACATTATCAACTGTAGATGAAGTTGACTTAAAGAAACAATTAAATGAAGATAAAGAAAAAGCACATGAAACATCAATAAATACTACATATTTTGTTACAAATCCATTAGGATACCTACATCAAATGAATGTACTATCAAATACAACTTTAATGTTATTGGATGATAATAAATTTAGTGGAATATTTGTAACATCAGTATTATTAGCACACATAGATTATCATAATGAAATTAATTCTGCATGTGCATTTAACACTGGTTCACTTACTAATTCATTTTCATTTTCATTTCATGCAGATACGTTCAAACTATTGTTCACTATTATAGAAAACTTGAGTTTTGTACAATTATCAGATTATACAGCGTACATATTAATTGCTTGTTTACGATTATTTACCACACATTTAAAATTTTTAATTAAATCTGATCTTAATACTACTGAATTTGTTACAAATACAGAATTAGAACAATGGAAAGAATTAATGTTACAATTAGCTACAAATTATGAAATGAAAATAATTGATAATCATAATAAGATTTTATTTGAACAAATACGTACAACTATAAGTAAAGAAGCATCCAAATCATTTATTTATTTATTAGAAAAATTAACACCAAAATTAATTGATAAACTTCAATTTATTTATCAATATATAATAGATAATAAATATCCAATATTAATTCAACAATTATTAATAAATCTACATAATAATGTAACATTAAAAACATGGATTGAATTACTATCTTATGGTAAATTAAAACAAGAAATGAACAATGAAGAAGAAATAGATGAATTATTGATTAAACAAACTCAACAAAGTTCATTAACATTATTATATTCATATATGGATATTTGTTTACAGTCAAACTATATAGTACAACAAAAACAATTAAATAATGAAATAATTATATTGCAACAAGTATTTCTATTATTTCAAGAATTATTATTCATTGCATTAAATAATGAATTATCTATCATATCTAATGATAATGATTATATAATTGATATTCATTCATTTACAGTCACCTCATTCACTATATGTTATATTACACGAATATTAAATGCTAGTATAAATACAACAATTGTTAGTGATTTATTTCAATCTATATTAATTGGTTTATGTTTATTAACACAAGAAAAATTTAATTTTATAGCTATTCAATCAATATTTACAGCTATTTTACCATTATTAACAGAATATTTATTAAATAATATCACGATAAATACAAATTTTTATTTAATTATTTGGTTATTAGGTAAAATTAGTAATATTATGTTAAATGGTAGAAAACAACATATATTGGAAAAGAAACATTTTAATACATTAAATTTACCTTTATTTGCTGGAGGACATGAAATAACAATAGAAAATAATGAATATATATTACAATCGAATTTAGTTAATTATTTAAACTTTAATTTATCTACTCTACAAAAAACAAGTAAAACTAATTTGGACTTTTTAATGTCGATTTATAATAATATTGATGATGGTGCAAAATTATTATTAAGATTAAAAAAATTTATTATAGATAAACAACGTCTACAAAAATCTATTGAAATACAATCAAATGAAGCTGTTGCTGCATTATTTGCTGTTTATATTAAACATTATCGACGAATAGAACTTGCTAAAAATGAATGTCAAATAGATTTAGAAATTAAACCTCATAGTAAATTAATTTCACTTTATCAATATGCAAATTATATTCAAACATTATTTGCTCTAACAAAAGCTCAAGGTGGTGATTGTAATGAATTATATACACAAATTAAAAAAAATACATTATTTTTATTAGTATCCATTAAAGAAAGTAATTTTATTCCATTAATTAATGATACAAGTTTTATAATATCAAATTTAAAACGGCAAAAATCATTATTAGATAGTCCTGATTTAGAATTAACACCAACTATTCCAATAATTAGTTTAACACCTAAAAATCTATATAAAAGACAAAATTCTAGATGGACAAAAGCTAAATATGTATTACGATTGCTTCGTAATACAATGAAAGTAATTATTCGATTAAAAAAATTAATGTTAGCACGTAAACAAGCAATAGAACAAAAACAAGATAATGAAAGTATATTACGTAGAAATATTAATACATTTGTATATGAATATAAATCTATATCAATAATCGAAAAAAATTTACAAACAGAAGAAATAATTAAATGTATAGAAATACAATATGAACGAGCCATTACAAGATTAATTACATATAGATTTATTCAAACATTTATAAATAAATTATTAAAAATTGAAGATGAAAGAATTTATATTATTCTAGCCTTTTATTTACCACATTTAAGAAATATGAATTTAGATTGGCATTATTTAGAAAATATTCAAAGTTCAAATATAATATTAAAACAACAAATTGAAGATGTATATTATTCAATTATTAAAACAATTGCACGATCTTTATCATTAATAATACCATCAGTATTAATCGTATCTAGAATATTAATATTAAATTTATTTAGTTTACTTAACTTATCATATAGACATGCCGATCTATTTCATATATATAATTCTCAATTAACTAAATATTTATTTACTTTTTTCAGTTATATGAAGCAAAATAAATTTGACTGGAATATTAAATTTTCGGCATTCAATTGGTTTAGAATATTAGTATTACAATTATCAGATATTATTGAAATGGAAGAAAAAAATAATGCTGTTGTTATTCAAGTATTACAACGATTACACGAACATATATTTCATAAGTTGATTTTAAACGAATTACAAGGATTAAGACAATTAAAGCAAACGGCTTTAGATACAGATACAAATAGTAATATGTATGAAAATACTCATTTACATAATACTGGAATAGGTTGGTTTATGGTTACAAAATCCACATCATCTATTGAAAATACAACAATGACAAATAAATCAAAACTAGAAATTGAAATATATACAAATCAATTGTTAGTCTTATTGCTTAGATGTGTACATTTATATTCACATGTTCAATATAGTTGTTCAACAATTGATTATATTCAAGAATTACTTTTCATTTATAGTAATAGCATTAATAATACTAGTATTATACTTTCATTAAAACTTTTACGTGAATTATTATTATTATTACCTAGAACTGATCAATTAATATTTAGATTAAAACCAAATGAAATAGTAAATAATAAACAATTATTACAAACATTTTTATTTACTATTGGTGATAGTTGTGTAAAAACATTTGATAATAATATTGAAATTAATTCAACAACAGTAACTGAATTAATTTATATATATAGAACATTAATGTCTATACGTTCATCATGGCAAACATTAGCAATACAATTAATTATAGATGCTATTAAAACAAGTATAACATTAATTAAAACAATTAAAACAATAGAAATTAGTGAATTAAATTATTTTTTAGCATCATTATGTATACTAGGTGGTTATATTCAACCATATTGTGAAGGATGTATAGTAGACGTATATGAAGATATTAATAGTAATGAATATGAATCGGCAATTATCATAAACATTGATAGTAATGCTCGAGATTTAGGTACAGTTGATACATTACCATATTATATACAATATGAAACAACAAATAAACTCAAATGGATTAATGCAGATAAATTACGTATACGAGTATGTGTTCCAGTGCCGAATTTATTACCTACATCAACAGTTTTAGCTGATACAGATATAACTATGTTTGAAACAGCCTATAAAGTTGCAGAAATAAATGCACATTTAATAATAGACACATTATATTTACTTATACACAAATATACAATTACAAATGATAATTTAATATTATTACAAATTCAACGTCGTTCTATTGCAGCATTATCACATATATTGAATGACAAAAGACTTGTACAAATATTTATCAATAAACAATATGCACCTGTTGTTGCACAATTAGCTCTATCAACTAATACAAGCAATAATGTTATACCTGATGATTTACGTATGACAAATAAATTGCATTGGGAACAATATAGTTTGAGTCTAGATCGATGTGTTCGAACGAAACAAATATTAAATGATATAGAAACAGTTGAAACAAATGTTAACACAAGTGTAATTCTGTCTGAATTACCACATACTTCACTATTAACAACATTTGGTTTTCAAATTTGGAATCAAGATGTAAATGATGAAATGATTTATGATCCACTTGTGTATGATATTGTGTCTACAAATCCAGATAAATATAAAAATTGGAAATCGTATGCAACAGAAACACAAATAGAAATATTGAAATGTGGTAGAATTGGAAATGATGAAATTAAAATTATACCATTTCCTGGTGAAAATAATGGAACAATATCTGAATGTGGTAATAAACATAAATTTCAAGGTCATGTTACTGGTGTTCAACATTTTGCTACATATCTAGTTGAAGATATTCAATTAACTCAAGGTAAATGGTATTATTGTATTAAATTGAATACTGATAATCTTATGCAAGTAGGATGGATAACAAAAGGTTTTAATCCTAATCCAGAATATGGTAAAGGAGTTGGTGATAATGAATATTCATGGTCTTATGATGGTTCACGTGGCACTCTTTATCATAATAAAGAAGGTTATTTTGGAGGAGATATTCGATGGAAAATAGATGATGTTTGTGGATGTGGAATTGAAATTAATGAAGGAAATACAGTTATTAAATATTGGTTAAATGGTGACTTTTTGGGTATAGCATTTTCACATAAATCAAATACGAGTATACAATCTGCATTTCCATGTAATATGTTACCAAATGAAAAATATACAACATTTTATCCTGGAATAAGTATCTCTAATACTGCTAGTTGTGATTTTATATTTAGTCCAGAAGATATGGAAAAATGTCCATTACCAAATGGTTATAAACCGTTACTATTACCAACACTAATTCACACAGAAAATACATTAGTTCCTTATCCATATAGTACATATTTAGTTGGTAATGATCCTATAGATTATTTTCATATTATACGTAAACAATTTGATTTACCATATCGATTTCTACGTGATTTCATAAATGAACAGCATATTCAAACGACATTTGCATTAAAAGATATAAATATGGAACGACAACAATTAAAATTACAAAATAATGGTATTTATTTACCTATTAATACAAATATTAATAATGAAATATCAACTGCATTTACAATTAGTTTTGATTTTGAATTAGATATTACATCTAAAATAAATATTGATGAAATAAATATTAAATTATTAACATTAGATACAGAATCATATATAATACCGTTACAATTGAAGAAATTAATGGAAATAAATAAATTAATATATGAAAATAAAAATATTTATCATATTGCTATAATATTTGAATTAGAATATCAAGTCAAAATCTATGTAAATAATGAATGTATTAATATTACACTTGATGGTAGTGTATTTAATATTAGTGAAAAAAATCTAAATCTATGTATATTACCTGAATTTGTAGGTGAAATTAAAAATATTGGTATTTGGAGATATGCATTGTCTGAAAAATACATTCGAAGATTATTTACTTATGGTTTAAATTATGTTGCAATTGATTATCAAAGATTACAACAACATAAAAGACAAGAAAATACATTTATATTCAAACAAGCTCAATTTTCACGTGAATTATTATTGTTTACTGAAACATTTGACACAAAAATATGGGAAAATAAAGTAAAGCATGTTGACATAGATGAATACAAATATTTCAAGACATTATCTACAAATAGTGAATATGCCATACAACTATTTGGAAATAATAGTTATTTAGTATTAGATAAATCAGTTATTGATGAAAATTCATATGAAGATGGAAAAAATGAAAGAAAATTTATCGATAAAGCACCATCTCCATGGACAGAATATACAATTATTATGGATATTAAAGTACCAAGTTTACCTACTACTACTGTAGAAACAGATAATGATGAAAATAAAGAGTCTACAGAAACAATAACTCAAATAAGAAAAGAATCAATTAGTTCAATTAATACAGATGTGAACTTTCTACAGCTAGATGACAATTTTCTAATTACAGAATCTAAACCAGTTTCAGATATATTAACGTTAGTCAGAATATCAGAACAATATGCCATTTATGTAACAAAGGAAGGTAAATTTTCTGTATCAGGTATTGAAAGTGAATCAACATTAAAATTAAATGAATATGTACGTGTAGTTATTTGTAAAAATCATAATAATATTCAGATTTATGTAAATGGAAGATTAGAATTAAATGTAGATGTTGATAAACAGACATATGAATTAAATGAACAATGGATTTATTTATTTAAAGAAACAAATATTTCAAATAGTACTACTGTAGATATAGTTCGAATTGAATGTAAATCAATTACATTTAAAAATAAATCTCTCGATCAATTACCATCAATATTAAAATCAACTGAACATTCACTAGATACATTTGTTGGATTACCATTTCCAGTATTATCAACGAATTTAATTTCAATAGGTTATAACAAACGATGGATTAAATCTATTATAAAACAATACAATACAAGAAATATTCAATTAATTGATACATTGATACGTCATCAACAGCAACAATTAATAAATGCAGATCTCGATAAGAAACGTAAACATAAATTGAATTTATTATGTAGATTAAGTCCAAATTTAGATAAAGAAAAATTGGATAATTTTATAAGATTTTCAAAACTTGATACTGATGTCGAGATAGCTGTAGTATGTCAACAAATATTAGAACGTTGGGATGAATTACAAATTGAAAATATACCCACAAAAGAACTGTTGGATAAAACAACTGTAGATTTAAACGTATTTATGGATGATAATGATGAGGATATAGTTACGGAAACAATAGAAAAACCTACATGGTATTCAAAATGTGTTGATGAATTAGGTATAAAAGACGATATATTTAAATGGATACAAGATAAAGCTCAACAACAAACTATAAATATGAATACATATGTAGATCCACTTTATAAACTACTAGATTTAGATAAAGTTGAAGAAAATGACTTATCAAATGAAACTGAATTAAAAATTCAACGTATTCAAAATACACAAAAATCAATTCAATATTCACATCAACAAATTACATATAAACAATACATAAATTCACGTATTTCATCTGAAATAGGATTAACATCTATATATGCAAGATATACAATATTGAATATGTTAAAAGCTTGGACAAACAATAATGATACACATGAAAGTTTATTTCCATTAATAGAATTTGGTGATATGAGTTGTATTATTAAATTAATACGATTAATGGATTATCATTATACATTTATAAGTAATAGTACGGATGAAACTATAGATAGAATGAAATTATTAATAAATTCAATTATTCAAGTTGAAATAAAAACGTTACTTAAACTAGAATCTAAAATTACACGTAAAATATTTCAAACAATAGCACCATTATTATATCAATTACAAATAGATATTATTATACAATGTATTCAATTTATATTAAATCCAAAATTATTAGAAATAACTAATGAGACAATAGATGAACATAAACTCATTGAACAACCGAATTTCATTTTTATAATGAAAACATTAAAATCATTTCTTGAATTAATTAAAAATACAAAAAAACAATATGTTGATATTTTAGTTCAAATTCTTTTTCCTGAACAATTAATTAATTTATTATTTGATTTATTTATATTAATTTCAAATCATCAACAAAAATTATTTATTTTACAAATATTTGGAATATTAACTAAAATGACTAATAATTTTAGTTTAAGTATAAATGCACAAAAATTTTTATTAAAATTATTTGAATTTCTAACAAATCAAAGTTTAATTGGTAATCTTTCAATTCATAATTTACAATTTGCTGTTTTAGATTTATGTTATATATTGAAAGTAAAAGAAAAAGAAAAACAGGAACATATTAAAAAAATATTAGATAATGAATTTAGTATAGATTTAAATAATTCATTGATAAATGAATCATCCATGATAATAACTAATGGTTTTACTAAAATGTTTGAATCAAATAGTTTTGGAGATCGTGCTGGACGTCAAGCATCAGTAAGAAATCGTGGTTTTCGATTAGCTTTTAATCTTGGACTACTTATTTTTCAACCACAATTAGAAGTTACAATATATCCTAAATATATAGATTGTTTACTCGATTTATTTATAATTATGGATGTAATAGAAACATTAATTGATAAAACAAAACAAAGATTATTTTCCAAAGAATTTATTAAACAATCAAATTTATTTGGAATTGAATTATTAAAAGAAGAAATTGAAGAATCAAATAAATATTTTAATAATGTTGCTGATATAGAATTAATTAAATTTATGAATAAACATATTAATATTGATTGGCAACCATTACCAAATTCAAATATTAACGATTTTATAAATCGTTTACCAAATGAATCAATATGTAATACAAAATATAATACATATATATCATTATGTAATATACCTGCAATTTATATACGTACACGTATAAAATTATTGTATTTATTTAATATATTGATCGGAAAAGTTTTAACAATTCTTGATCTAAGTTTACCAACAGGTATTTATACACTTATTGATAATATTAGATTAATTAAAATCTATATATTATATAATACTAAATTAACATTATTTAATGATGCCCTAGAGAAAACATGTCATGCTGAACAAGCACCCACAGTTGAATTAGATATTATTAAAGCAAGTAGTTGTTCTTCATATAAAGATACAATATTTTATCAAACTTATAAACAATTATATTCAAATGCACATTTAACATTTCGAAAACCAGAAAATACACAAGTTTGGAGTGTATCATATATTGGAATGCATAGTCAAGATGCTGGTGGTCCATATAGAGATTCAATTACGACTATGTGTAGAGAAATATGTAGTTCTAAATTATCATTATTTATATTATGTCCAAATGGACGAACAAATAGTGGATTAAATCGTGATAGATGGATTCCAAATGTATTTTCACCACAAATAAAAATTCCAAATAAATTAAAATATCAATATATATTTATTGGACAATTAATGGGTATGGCTATAAGAACGAAAAATTTATTAAATTTACAATTTCCATTATTATTATGGAAATCATTAGTGTATGAATCAATTACGATTGAAGATATAGAAGCTATTGATATACAAAGTTTTAAAAGTATAAATGAAATGGAAAAAAATATGAAACAAAATAAAATTATAAATGTTAATAGTGATATTGATAGTGATAAAAAATGTACAGATAATATGAGTTTACTATTTGATAGTATTATGAATGAATTAAAATTTGATATTGTCGGTTCAAATATGGAAACATATGAATTAAAATCAAATGGTTCAAATATTCCAATAACTATAGCTAATTATCAAGAATATTGTATGAGATATCGTGAATATCGTTTACATGAATTTAGTAGACAAATTAATTATATTCGTCAAGGTTTATATAGTATAATTTCATGGGAAATGTTAACATTATTTACTGCAAGTGAACTTGAAGAAGCTGTTTGTGGTAAAGGTATAATTGATGTTGATTTATTAAAAAGACAAACTGAATATGTACATCCAGATGATAATCATAATACACCATATATACAACGATTTTGGTCGGTTTTAAAAGAGAAATTTGATGAAGAACAAAAGAAGTTATTTTTGATTTTTGTTTGGGGAAGAAGTACGTTACCTAATCGAGAAGAAGATTTTACACATAAATTTGTAATTCAAAGACTCAATCCAGATGGTGATGTAGACAAAGCACTACCGAGTAAGTATTACAGGGTATAACGATTTCTTTTCCTTTTCAGTAAATTATGTTAACAAAAAAACTCAGTAAAAATCTATTTGGTCTTAGATCAGATTCTGATGGAAGTTTCAACAAATGTTGATCACATAAAATTATGAGGAAGAAATCTCTTCCGGTTTAGGAGTTTTCCAGTCCAAGGTCAAGAAACGTCTTCCATTGTGGAATACACTTGAACCTACAGATGTTGACGTGATTTTCTTTAGACGAGACAAACAAAAATAACTGCATGAACAGATAGAACTTTTCCAAAGTTTCTTAAGAGAAGTTCGGTAAGAACACTAAGAAAATACATAATATGTTCGGAAGCTTTTTTTTAATTTAACTATGTCTGTTCTATTCTCCATCTAAACTTATCTATAAACTGAAGTTTTTCGACCTTGGTAACGTTCCCATTGGAACTTTTGGAAATAATTAGAAATTAATGAAAACCAATTTAAAAAAGTCTCATATTAAATTAGTGCGCATTAATCTTTTTCTGATTAAAAATTAGTCCAGATTAATTTAACTTGATAAATTAATCCAAATCAATCGAATTTTAACCAGTTTGAATTAATTTTACCTGACACAGTAATGCGGACTGGTTAAAATTCGATTGATTTGGATTAATTTATCAAGTTAAATTAATCTGGACTAATTTTTAATCAGAAAAAGATTAATGCGCACTAATTTAATATGAGACTTTTTTAAATTGGTTTGCATTAATCTCTGATTATTTCCAAAAGTTAGGTTTGGCTGACGAGTTACAACGTTTTTAAAAGAACGATGTCGAAATTTTCCTGGATCCTACGTTAAAATATTTTAAGTTTTCTGCTTCTCTATATTTTTTATCCCAATAGAATTATATATCAGTTGAACGAGCAGAAGAACCCGAACAAGATGTACTATGTTTCCCCTCTTCACGCTCGAAAACTAAAGTGTAAAAACAAACAAACGAAAGGGGATCGATAATAGGCAAAATCGGCCCCCTCTCCGATCAAGCTCATATTCACAGGTCTGATGTAGTTTTTCTCCGTGCTTAAAACTAGCACCTCAAAGGAACCACTTTCAGCCGCCATGGAAAAAATTTTGCATCCAACCTTTTCTCCTCTTAGATAAACTTTCTTTACAATATTTTCCTCATTTCTTCTCTTCGTTCAAAGCAAACCACAACCACTATATACCACTCGATAGAGAATGTCACTGGCTACAAAATGATATATATAAGGTTGAGATCAAATTATATCTGGATGTCCTAACAGTAGAAAGACTAGCCCCGACCTCCGCAAATCCATAGATCAACAGCATTCATCGCTTATGACATCCAGCCAATTTATCGTTAACCACTCCACTTTATATACCACTCAATAGAGAATTTCACCGGCTACAAAATGATATACCTGGGAGTCTTGAGATCTCTGAAAAACCCGGTTTTCTAGAAAACCTATGGATCTTAAAGTTTATCGAAAGCTTTTTATCCATATCATTAGATAGTCCCTTCAATTCTTCATATAATGAGATGCTGGGGAAGTTACCACAACCGTGGACCACCGAGTTACAAGCTTTTTAACATTATGAATATAAATTCAGTCGGATTAATGCCGTTTTAGATCTGTATTGTATTTTCTATGCGACTTTTTGAGACAACATGGCAGAAACTTCCCCAGCATCTCATTTTATAGAGAACTGAAGGGGCTATCTAATGATATGGATAAACAGCATTCATCGCTTATGACGTCCAGCCAATTTATCGTTAGCCGCCGTTTTCCCCGGCGGCTGAAAATAGTTCCTTTGAGGCGCTAGTTTTAAGCACAGAGAAAAACTACATCAGACCTGTGAATGTGAGCTTGATCGAAGAGGGGGCCGAATTTGTCTGTTAGCGACCCGCGTCCTTTGCGAAATTCGAAAAATCAAAGTTTTTATTAAAAGCAAAGACTGATTAAGCTTCCCTTAAAAAAGAAATGCATAGCCTTTTTGTAGAGCAAACAATTGCTTGATCAAAAATTGTTTTTTCAGTTTAACTATACCAGTTCGATTCTCCATTTTGAGCTATTGAGCTAGCTGAACTTTTTGAAATTAAAAACTCAAACTTTTTATGAAAAATAAACATCTTTGTGGGGCAAAGAAACAATAACTGCAACTGCATATCTAGCCAGTTACATACATTAAGGAGTACTATCTGAAGAAAAAAAATGTGCATTACCATTTTTTGAGTATTCCGAGAATGGAAAAAGCTATGGAGGTGTGATTTTCGGTATTTGAAAGAGGACGCTTGGGGACATGTTTCCATAACCAGAAACTTTTCCAGGAGGGTTTTGTAAAACAGATTCTCAAATCGCATATATTCTCAAAGTAGACATTAACGGCTACCCAACCGTGTTGTTATCGAAAAATCGATTGTTGGATTCAGAATTACGTTTCTTGATAGGGCAAGATGTGAGAAATCATGAACAAGGTTGATAAGTGCGAAGTAATGGCTGATTGCATGTTCAAAACAAATTACTTAAGATCACTGTGTGGAGCAAAGAAACTATGACTGCAGTTGTATTTCCAGACAGTTTGGAGAGATTTACCAAGTACTGTCTGTAAAAGAAAGTAGAATGTACATGTCCATTTTCTGAATATCTCGAGAACGGAAAGCGCTATCGTAGTGCAGTTTTCGCCATTTGAAAGAGGAGACTTGAAGGCATGTTCCCGTAACCAGATGAATGGTTTGGGTACGATATCAGTCTCAAGACTGGTACTCGATGCCTATTGATAACTTCCGAAACGAGTGAATTATAACTAATCAGCGGTGCTGAGCGTCGTGCCATTTTGGAAAATGCTTTTAAAATCTAGAGAGAACCAAGATTTACGAAAATTAGAGTTTTCTTACAGTTCTCACCTAATATTAAAAAATTCCCCATTCACTCAAAAACATCAGAACGAGTTGAAAGGTTCAAAATGTGGTTAACTTTGTCTTGTACGTGATTGTATGAGCGTAAAAATTGAACACCAATGTCTTTGTGCAGAGATTTCCTATTCTTTTCAAATACTATAGGTTTTCTAAGTCATCTGAGTAGATTTCTTATGAATAGGATACAGAATGGTGTACACAGTAAACATCCTGAAGTTTTCAACTAGATCTGATGTTTTTAAGTGAATGGGGAATCTTTTAATATTAGATAAGAACTGCATGAACACTCTAATTTTTGTAAATCTTGATTTTCGCTAGGTTTTAAACCCATTTTCTAAGAATAAGTGTTGGCACGGGGCTCAGCATGGCTGATTAGCTATAACTCACTCATTTCGGAAGTTGCCAATAGGCATTGAGTATCAGTCTTGGGACTTCAGGGAAATCAGATACCATACTCAAACCACTAAAAATCAAGGTCTCGCTTGACTCCGATTTTGAAGAGGACATCCTTAACTGTCAAGCAATGAGGGGTGATCAACATAATTCTACTGAAAGTTTTTGAGATACCGCAGGGTTTTTAAAGATTCCCTAGAAAAGCTGTTTTACAAGACCATCCCGAAAGTTTCTGGTTATGTAAGGATGCCTCCATGTTTCCTCTTTTAAACGACGAAAACCGCACCTCGATAGCTCTTTCCGTTTTCGAGTTATTCAAAAACGACAGTAGTACACTACAGCTAACTCCCACGGTTGAAACCCATTACTAGATTGTGTTTAGATTTTTCCCGTGAAAATTTAACACTCACCACTCTGTTCTCCAAACAGCATTAGAACAAGTGTCGAGGCCTTAAATACAATGAGGTCAAGTCAGAATAAGGGCTTTTTATGATAAAGTAATAATATTATATATACATCTAAGAACAAAACAGATAACGTTATAGTCATAAGTACAATAGGAATAATGTTGTCGGAGGCATTGAAACGAGTGTGAGGACATACTTTGCAAGTAATTACAGCTGATAACGACTTGTGATGACATTTTACTTTCATGCTTGTAATCTGACGATTGACGCCAATAAAGGATCCATTAAAGGTACTCCCTCCTATAGATCGAGTTGAATTCTGACTTTGAGTGACGGATCTATCTACTTTCAACTTGTGCTGTTTCGTATTACGATATTATTGTAGTAAACAGATACGTCTGAAAGCTTCTAAACCCAGTTCGATGTTTGGTGGATAGTTAGCCTCAAACTTGAAACGCTATTTTCAGACAAACAATACATTTATATGTAATCGTTCATGACTCATTCTACAAACATATCAAAACTGGAACTTCTCAAGCCAAAGGTGAAGTCCGCATAAGAACGGTAATCGGTCCCAACCTCATCAGAAACACATCCGATTATCATATTCGATGATTTCAACCCCTCCGAACGCTTTCAGTTGAATATACCCAATAGAATCTACTTGAAACCAAGCAACAGTTTAGCACCAACAGTATGACTGTAAAATCAAGATTTCTCAGTAACCGTACTATATTAAGCCTAGCGTAATACATCATTCGATGCGCCATGAAAAGCTCTACAACATGTGTTAATAAGAAACTTAATGATGCATACCAGCAGGTTGTATGAATTTAATACTAGACTTTTCCATAGGTCAAGACTATGCCAAGGGAACTATTGTTCACTTTTTCTTTGAAACTAAAGAGGATCTCTAAACACACATACATTATTCGATGGGTCTTGGAAAGCTCTACGGTGCTGTTTAAAAGGGTTCTGTCGTAGCTCTTTAAACCAGGGTCTCTGGAAAAACCAAAATCTCAGAAAACCAACTCCCAGAGTTCAGTCTAAAAACTCGTTGCAAAAACTCCATTCTGTAGACCAAACATTTCTGATGAAAATGAGACGTCTCCGAGCTCTTTACGATACTTTTAGTGAATCAGCATTCAATGTACGGAAGGCCCCACGCTTGTTTTCCAGCTCTTTAAACCAGGTCTCTGGAAAACCAAAATCACGGACCGTCTCATACCAGCAAACCTAACGGGAAAACACTTCACCTTTGCCCAGAGTTGTAACCGGTTTAAAAATAAGAGACCGGATCGGACCGGCCGGTCCAAAAATAAGAGATTAGACTGGCGAAAAACTGGCAAAAGACCTGCCGGTTTCGAAAAATTATCTAGACTGGTTAAAAACGCAAAAGAACGGTAGGTTTGGAAAAAATTTTTAGACTGGTGAAAAAGCGGCAGAAAACCGGTTGGTTTTCAAAGATTTTCTGGAAGGACGAGAGGATAGAAAAACTCATGTTTTTTTAGTGACGAAGAGAAAAATTCTAAGAATTTCAAAACCAGCAAAAAGCCGGTCAATCAGCGGTCTTCTGCAAATCTTTCTTGACCAGTGGAGACCGGCGGGTCTAAACTTTTTTAGTAGAACGGACCGGCCTGGTGACAACTCTGAATTTACTTTCGAGGAAAATGGAAAAGAAGTTTTATTCTTATGGTTCAGTTGACTCGAAAACAACTGAGCCTTAAACAAAGTATTGACACTTTTCCATAATCTACCAGTTATGCTGGATCTGATGAATATGTTTTTCAAACATGTACGACACATCTTTTAGCATATAGAAACACAGACATACGTAATTACGTTAGAAAAAAAAGTAGAAGCTTCAACTAAGCGAAAAACCACTTTTGTCGGCACAAAATTTAGGCTATTGGCAGGAGAGACTTCAAGCATGTCCTTTTGTATTATTGTAGGAGCTCATACTTGTTATTTTATTCTTGATTTACCTACCTATTCAACTGTTGAAATAATGTACGAACGATTGAATTACGCTATTACTAATTGTTCAAGTATTGATGCCGATGTTGAACTGAATGAAGCTCAGAATACGTCAACAATACTACAAGACCCAGAAGAAGAAGATGCAGCACTTCTAAATCAACAAACACAATCATCAACAAATACAAGTGCATCTTCTTCAACTTTGACTGAAGCGGAAGTAGTAAGCTAATAAATTCATATCTTATGTTGTTATAGTAGTCCGTTAATTTTATTTGCTTTTTTTATTTCTATGTAATTACAGAACTCTGATTAATGCACTCAATGTTAGCGGTGTAATTATTAAATATGCTTTTTATTATCAGGAATTATTTAATAAGTATAGATAACAATCTTTATTTGAATGGAACTTATGCCACAAACAAACAATAACATGTGTCAGGACAAACATTGTGTCTTAATGATACTGTCCATGGCAATAATCATAAAAATCAACACTAATTTGATTTAGTTTATTTAATAGTTTTTTGTAAATTGTTTGATTATATTTGTTTGTTCAGCCATATTTGTAGCTCTTCTTACGATAATTTCTTTATTTTATTTTGCAATTCAAGAACTAAACGGAGACAAGTGTGATTTTGAACTTTCAAATTTCGATTGCTTCGCATATCATTGCGTCCATATGAAAAGTGCGAACTCTTGTCAGGCTCAGAGATATATGCTCATATGTAGATATCAAAAATCTTAGAATTAATTCTACTTGAATCTACCATATAATGTGGAATAGGAAAATTCAGAAAATTTTTTTTTTTTATTAGTGCTTTTAAGCGCCACTTTCACCTTATGTTCGCACAGAAAATAAATCTAAACTCGAATGAAAAATACGTGCGTGCGAAGTATAGAAACGGCGGCAAGCATGAAAGATAATGATTTATTAGCCGGTTTTCTTCGGAGCTAGGCAAAATACTCGAAGTACTCGTACTCGTACTCGAGGGACTGATACTCATACACGTACTTATACTCGAGGTGGTCAGTACTCAATAATCTAATGTTTGAAATTCCAGATGAAGTGTGTGTTATTTATGCGAAGAAAGTCGTGAAGAAGATTTACTTTTTTTCTAAAAAGCATATCTATCCAGGATTATATCAACTTCCTCTAAAATATCTAACGGTGCCTGCGGCATCGGCTTCTATCGAACGCGTTTTCTCGCAAAGTGGTTTTCTGATGAGACCACATCGAGCATCATTAACGGCGAAGAATGTGTGTCTACTAACTTTTCTAAAATGTAACAAAGTTTTACTTTGATTCCATTTACTTGAAGGTTGATAATACAATAAATTAAAAAAATGTTTTAACATTTCGCTTTGTCAATAGTTTGTTCTGACCTATATATCAAATAAATAAGAGACTAATTAAGAGAATAACTAAAGAGCTATAGGACTTTTTTTCCCACAAATGATTTTAGACATTCATAGTCATACCTGGTTCAATGGTATCTGTATTTAAAAAATTGGTGCTTATACTTGTACTCGTCTCATACTCGAAGGCCCGGTACTCGTACTCGACTCGTACTTAAGAAATCCCGTACTTGCCCAGCTCTGGCTTTCTTTATAGGATAACTAATTAGAAGGAAAAAAAATGCGGTCATCTTAAAGAATTCAAGCGCGAGCTAAAGGAAAGCTATCCGTAAATTCCCCTCTCCCCCTTTTTGCAATGATTTTAAATCCCTTTTTCACGAATGATTACATCATGTTTTATTGGGACTTTTCTTCGAGAGCATGATGTAATCAGATCTTACTATAAGTTCACTCTAAATGCCGTTGTCTAAGACAGCTTATGCGGTTTTTTCTTCGGGAAGACGATGCAACTCATTTTAGACTCGATCACAACTTGAGCTCAAAATTCTACACACATTAATTGTATCGTTTAACTTTTTGTTTAATTGCTTACTTTGAATAAGTTACCGTTCAATAGCTTATTCAAATTTTTGTATTTATATAAAATACAGGGACATCATCATTACAGTGCCACAACATGGCAAAGAGAACAACCATGAGAAGAGAGTACATTTATAATTATAATATTTTCTGAGTTTCATGTTCTTTTCAAGTTTCTGAGCCCATATTTGGAAAGAGCATAGAATTCTGATCTTAAGGGGGGTTCCCTCCCCATATGTGTGTTCTCGAACTATGCCAGTTTAACGAGGACACCTGACTACATATATCCTTAAGTTCTTTCGATGAACTGGTAAGTATTTCCAGAGTTATTAATTAATTAAGTTTAAATTTTCATTAGATTTTAGGTAGCTAGTCCGCATTTTGAAAAGCTTGTAGCTCGGTTAAAAATAATTGTAGAAATGTCGTTCTTGCATGGTTGGATAGCCAATGATCTGCTGTTATGGTCTGATGAAAAATTTTTAAAAAAAAATTTCTTAAGACTATAATTTGTAATTAATCATGCTAATAGCACTTTTATTTGCGAACTAACGATTGATTGGAAACGGTAACGTAATATGCCATCCGACAGAAATTTCCAAGCGCTACAAAACCTTGCATTTGTCGTTTCAAAAATATTACCTAAGCAGTGATCTGAACTCGGTTTTAGGCAAATGAGGTTTCTACCATGGATTTCTCAACAAAGCGGCCATGGATTTGAGCGGTCATTTTTTGAGTAGTTCGAGAACGAAAAGAGATAGAAAGTTGGGATTTTCAGCATTTTGCCGAGAAGGCATTACTCTATCTTCACATCTATTTGGTGCTGAAAATCATGGTTTTTTAGGCGGTGCATGTGACTGATGAAAACCGATGAGGTTGCCAGATTCTGAATTTGTGGTGAATTTTTAATTTCAACATAGTGACTGGATAGCCCAAAGTGTTCTCTACAATTATGCGTAAAGCCGACCACTCTATCTATTGTGGTTCTCGAATGGCAGACATTTTTCTGAGTCATCCGAAATTCGTTACCATTTGGTCAGATAAAATGCCTGCCATTCGAGAAGCACAATAGATAGAAAGGTAGCTCTTGTGCAGAATTGTAGAGAACTTTGGGCTATCTAGTCACCATGTTACAATTCGTCAGATTCAACCACAATCGTCCTCTGTGACATGGTTTGATAAAGTGTGAGGAACCACCCATTTAATGCAGTGTAAAACTCTTGCCAAAGATCCTGCAATAACAAAGCATGCTGGAGTAAAAGTCTTGCTACAAAAATTGTGCACAATGGCAGACTGCGGGGGTAACGTAGCCTGTTTTTCAGAGTTAATGGAAAGATTTGGCAAACAATTAAATTTAAACCTTTTTAAGTTTTAAATTTTAAAACAATCTGGACCCTGTCGGATTTCAAAAGTATGTCGAACCAGAAAGCTATATATCAGGTTTTGTAGAACTTCTCGCGGCGGATCTAAATATAATAATATCTCCCGGCTGTCTATAACGCTTTTCACCGAAACATTTTGATAATTTTCACATCCTTAGTAGCCATTCGTAAATCGACTACAGTTGGATGAAGCAGCGTTATAGACAGCCGGGAGATATCTTATTTTGCTCAGAATTCTTTTCTCTATAAGGCTGTATGGTTCGAAAAGTCCTCATCTAATAGAAAAGATGAAGATTATTCAAAATAGTATTTAGATTGGTTCCAGCTTTTACTGAAAAATCAAAAACAAAGAAGTTCTTCTGATTATGAAACACTGCACTGCATATATAACACCCAAACGCTTCTTTTGCATATCTTTAATGACTGATCCCACCTGTCTAGATATTTTGACCACTTCAGTTTGTAGAGAACTATCCAATGGTATTCTTTTGGAAAATATATAGTTTTTCATTAAGACAGAAAAGGCTTCTAAAAGAGTATTCTGCAACTGTTTTCGGTAGTCCAACGCTTTCTTTGCATGTCTTTCGTGACTGGTTCCACCAGTCAAAGTATTCTAACTGGCTTAGTTTGTAGAGAATTTCACGGGCTATGTAATTGTGTATAGCTGGAAACTTGTATCCCTTTTTGGCAAGTTTTTCTCACCAATGACCTTTCAACGTTTAATACCGTCGTGTATACTATGTATAAAATGAGCATAAATACGTTTCTCTTGTAACATAAGCTGAATCTAAAAGATGCATTTTGTTCAGAATTCAACACTCTATAAAACTACATGTGACTTGGCCGGTAAATATGTGTTTTTCGAGAGACAGACCCCTTCAAGACCCTCCTCAGGACTTCTTGTCTCCAAAAACCTTTTTTGTGTGTCGACCATATGTATGATACTCCGTTTTGTTCAAAAATTACGAATATGGCGTTAAAACTGGTTGGTAAGTAAATTAGACCAGAAAAAAACAAGTTTAAGACCAAGATATACCCTATTCCTGTATACTTTTTTCCAGTAAAGATTTTTTTTCCCATAGACGCAGATGGATTTCAGACCTCTGCATAAAATGTGGCAGATAGAGCTCATACTTATACAGTTTTTGACAAAATTACAATTTGGTTCTGGATATCATTACATTACAGGATTTTACAGCTATTTTAGTGTGCACATACAGTATGTGTATGATCGATTTTTTTTATAAATTACCCATTTTTTCCTAGAAGAACTACGCTCTATTACCCATTATCGAACTAGTTTGTACGGTTTCATTGCTCACCAAGAATATGGGTAAGACAACATCTCATTGTATTACATTACCGAATCTCGACTTTTCCTCTTACATCAATATCGATTATAGACCTAAAACATGGTAACACCCAGATCTCGGTAACCAGAAAGTATTAACCCAATCCCAACACAGATTTAGATCCGCCACGAGAAGCTCTACAAAACCTGATATATAGCTTTCTGGTTTGACGTACTTTTGAAATTCGACAGGGTCCTTTAAAACATATTGAAGAAAATTTTGAAAATCAGACAACGTTACCCCCAGCAATCGACCATTGCGCGCATTTTTTGTTGCAAAAGCTTTTTCCAACATGCACCGTTTTTTGCAGCACTTTTGGAGAGGTTGTTTTCAAAATACTTTTTAATTTCCCAGCAAAACCCATTGGAAAAAAATTTTGTAACTCAATTTTGATCACTATTTTTACGTTTGTGCACACCATAAACCGGGTTATTCTGACGTGGCCCAGCGAACTGTACAACATTTCGAAATAAAATGAAGGCGGGGAGACCCTCCTTAACCCATAGTTTTCGACTGTTCTGGAATACTTTCAAGAGGGCCAAAAGGAGACAAATACTTTGTCTAGAAACTTTCGGTCCACGCATTAATTATCCTTGAGATGATGTTATAAAAAATGCTAGAATCACGGCGCACTGCATTATTCGTAATATCAATTCGATTTTGATTAAGACCAACAAATGTTTTTGATAGAAAGTCTCCATAATATATCATATATGCATGCTTTGCATAAACTTTTAACCGTACGTTTCTTCCTATAATGAGACAACTTAGTTTACTGGCACTTAAGTAGATAGTTTTATGATAAATGTTTAGAACACCCATTCTGATGCACAGAATTGTAGCTCTGGAAAGGGCTATCTTTTGGTATCTTCTCATCTCTATTACGTCAAAAAATTGAAAATACTCATCCGTATTCACTTTTAAACGGAGAGGGCAGTCAGTAAAAGGCCCTATAAATGGGCTCCAGTTAATATATTAGATATCAGTTAAATCATTTTTTTAAACAGTTGTTAATTGCCTATTCATCCATGAAATTGAAAGCTATTGCGCGTGTGTCAATATTTTTTCTTTTAAGCTCGAAAACGCCAAGTTATGAGATAATCAATCATTCTTCGACCAATTCTTCTAGCGAACGATGCTGATCAATTCGCAAATAATTCGTAAAATTAGTTTACAAATTTGTGTTCACTGTTTTTGGAACTAGATTGATTCGTAAATACGAATTAGCGAATTCGTATTACGAACTGATCCGGTTGAAAATGGATCTACGAATTGACAAACCCATTCTGCAAATTCATTGAGAATCGATGTGTACGCTTACTAGGCTACGTAGGGACACGACACTTTTCTCTGAGGTTAAAAATAGATAGATTCGTCTCTTCTCATCGATTCGTATACCAATTCGCCGTTATTCTTACGAATTCGTAAAATACGGCATGTTGTGTAAATACTCACAGCCATCCTCACTGCCTTCCCTCCCGCTCGGCACATGCACACAAAAGGGAGAGAGATTCCTCTCTGTTTTGTTTAGTACAGATACATGTATTAATATAGTCTATTGTCACATTTTTTGATTAATCCATTCAACTGATCAATTCGTATTCTACGAATTCGTAAAAATAACGGCGAAGTGAGGTGAGCAGTATGCGACTCGATGAGAAGAGACGAATCTATCTATTTTTAACCTCAGAGAAAAGTGTCCTGTCCCTGACATCAATTCGTATTTTACGAATTGTATTAATTCGTCGGTTATGCTTNATCTATGAATTCGTAAATTCGCATTTTATCGTATTTTTGCCAATTTACGAATTCGTACACGAATTCTTGGGGACCAAAATGATCATTTCACGAATTCGTCGATGGTCGACCAATTCGATTTACAATTCGTAGGTAACGGAAATTTCTTTCTTACGAATTCGTCCTAATTACGAATTGGCAAAAGGAAGAAAAGACGCAATTTTTTGGTTTGTTTTTGACCATTTTTGTTAGTTCACATCACTTCACATTGAATTACGAATTCGCAAAACAATGGTAAAATGCGAATTGTTGCATCATTTTTACGCCCAAAAATTGCGATTCGTCAATTCGTCTTTAGACACTTTGTCCACACTAATGGATTTACCTTCCTCTAAGCCTTATAAAGTCTCTAAGTCTTATAAAGTTAAAAGTCTGAAAAAAAATCTGACTGAAATAATTGGTCTCTCAGATTCAGACTAGAAGTGTAAATAATACATTTTTAACATTAAATATCGAGGTCGAACGTAGAAAAATGTAAACAGAAATGATTATTTTCATGGATAAATATTGCACCAAGTTACCTATATTAATACAACAAATTCGTCATCATATATGTTCTAACTGCGCATTCCAGTCTTTCTCGAACGTTAAGGTAGAACGCAGTCACGGTTGAGAGAAAATTTAACGTAGTAGTAGCATTCAAAAGAAAATTACTTTCTGATTATCATCATTCATTTATATTACTATTAAGGTAATGATGTCCTTTCTTGTTGCCACCTTGTAGTTGATAGAATGTGAAACAGCACCACTGACGCACTTTTAAAGACAGAAAAATATTTAAAATAACTTAAAAGCGTGTGATACATTACTTCCCAATCATGAAATTTTATAAGAAATAAGTTAGCTGCTCGTGCTGAAGAAGCACCCGCTTCTCCATTGACTGCAAATAGTTAAAAGAGTAAAATTTAGCTGATGTTGCTAGGTGTGTCAGGACAAACCCGTTAACCCGGCTCAGTACCAGTTGCAGCAGGTATATATATGTACAGAATAGAAAAACTGAAGGAAAGTCAACGAAAAGGAAGAAGTATCTGCAGAGATTCGAAGCCAGTATATAAAGATTAATAATCTTCTCCGTCGGCCACTGTAACACACAACTAAAAAACATGTTTTTCGGCTAGTTTCGATTAATTAGTGAATTGAACTTGCAGAAGTTTAAGTAGAGTAGTCTAAACTCTTAGCTCAATGTTCGACGACAAAACGCTTCCTTCATGCTGAAAAATCAAAAATATTAAAAGGAATCGCATTTTCACCCTAAATAGAAACTTTCTAGTCTTCTAAAATGAAAGCTTTTCGTGTTTCTGGCGTCATTCCTGTAATTTCGGCTAGATTATAAAACTAAATACGCTATTTTGAAGACGATTAAACTCTCGAACTTTCGAGCTAAGAACAAAGTTTCATTGCGGGTACGTAGGCGAAAAAATATGTACAAAAGCGGCCGGTTATTTTTGGCTGCCTCGTTAGCATAAGTCTACTTTTGAAGCATTGTGAGCAAAAACTGTTATTTCAGTTGATGTTTCTCTTTTCGTTATTCTGCAAGAATAGCGAAACTGAATATTCTTGTCACAGCTGTGTTCGTCTCTTCTAGCTTTCAATAAAATAAGTCAAAATGTCATCAATACTCAATAAAATATTTGGTAAAAACGAGAAAGAGCAATACGAGATACATCATCGTGCTTCTACAAGAGCATCTGATGCTGGTAGTGGCGTAACGCATACGGCGGCCAGCGATAATGTTCGTGTTCGATCGTCAATCACATCAGATACGCAATCACAAATAGACATACGAAATACCGACAAACTCAATGAATTAATGCAAAAACTTAGTAAGTATTTCTCGAGTATTCTGCCTATTTAGCACTAATCGAAAGCATATTGTTGTTTTTAGGTACGACGCATACACAACTCGATGCTTACTCAAAACAACGTACGGATAAAATCAATGAAGATCTTGCTGCCTCTGTTCAAGAAATGATCGCTGAGACACAAGCTGAACAACACCGTCTTGTTGAATATGCCAATGCTCGCACAAAAGCAGTCGAAGAAAACTACAAGGTGAAAATAGAAAAATATTTTGAAGAGATAAACGTACAGAAGGCACAAAGTTTAGCCATATTGGAAAAACAATTAAATGATCATCAACAGGCGATATTGGATCGAGCTAAGCAACAGATTGATCTCTTGAATTCAGAGGCTAATGATGCTAAACTGAACGTTATGAAGGAAGCACAAGCGAAAGTTAATGCGGAAATTGTAGGTATCACGAATCAAGTTCAGCAATTGGTTGCTGAAGAGACGACTCATAATCTACAATCAGCGACGACCATGGTTATTACATCGGAATCGTCATCAGCCAGTGTACAACACACAGGAGTAGTGGATATGAGTGCCACCGGTGCGGCTACAACATTTACATACTAACATTTAAATTTACACGACTTCTTTGTTTGTATATTTCAACCTTGTTCGGCACCAGGTACATTCTTCCCTGACTCGGGAATACTGAGTCAGAGTTATTCGTTCTTTTATTCTTTTCCATGACTCAATGAGATACTTCGTTACTCTCCTTATACACAGGCATGTTTTCATTGTTTTGGTTGTTCTTTTTCTTAATAAAGGTCAAGATACAAAATAAAAGGTCAAAATGTTATTTACTTATCAGTAAACCAGTTTTATTTCGACAACTGATAACGGTTCGGATTGGTCAGGAAAAACTCCATGTATGTTCATAATTATGGACAATTATGAAAAAAATAAATTCAGATGCATCAATATATTACTTAATGATTTAAAGAAACAAAATACTGAGTTAACCATCTAAATTCCAGGTCGACCACCGTTTAGATGCAGTATTAACTGAATGAGAAGTTCTTCTGCCTTTTTTTAGGAACAACGCAATATAAATTAAAACCGAGACATACTTTTCTCACATGCATATTGGTTAGAATGAAGCAGGAAAGAACATTTAGTCTTTCAACTATGCGTTACAAGATGTACTTTTCAAGGTTCTATACGCGTTTCAAAAACTCTCATGTCGCTTTACGTTTAAATTCACCAAATTTGGTTCTGTATATTCAGTTTTTCATGAAGAAACAGAAAAAACCGTAAATATTCACAACACACTTTACTGTCTCCAGTCAATATGATCGAATTTTAGCTTAGCTTAACTTCATGCATCAGTGCCTCGTCTATTACAATCATACTCAATTTAAGACAAAAAAGAACAGTGATATAAAAATGGTCTTGTTATAAGAGTATAAAATTAAAATGGTTGAATTTTAGCAAGAAAATTTGATTTTTTCTGTTTATTCAGTGGTCCACGATAATAAACATTCGATATTCCATCAACACTAATATTAATTTCATTTTTTCCAACAATATGTGCTGATGTAACACCATTTGAAATAATTGAAATTTTATTCATTAAACAATGACGAGCATCCAATGTTGTTGTACCACTTTGTCGAATTCTTGCTTCTATTCGAACATGACCATTCAATTTTACATGTCCCGTTCCACTAATAAAAGCTTGCAATTTATTAACTTCTAAAATTAAATTTACATTTCCTGTACCCTGTTTATTCAAAATAAATTTATCTTGCTGTTGTTTAATTATAGTCATTGATTGTACATGTCCTGTACCGATAGCATCCAATTGTTTCAATGATTTAAACTTAATATAAGCATTTATTTTGGGATAATTATGAACTGTTCGATTCAAATTAATTAATAATATATGTTTTTGTGTCACTTCTACATGAATACAACAATTGTGCACTGATTTATGTGTTTCAATTTCGACAGAATTTATGTCATCTTGGATTAATTGATAATTAATAAAACTGTTAACTACAATGTGATTAAATGTAACATTATCATTTAATGGATATGACTGACGTACAATATTGTTATTCGTATCGATCTTTGATTGATTGCATTTGAGCGTTGTTAATGCAGAAATAATTAAAACCAAATAAACTGAAATCATCTGAAGTACGCCGAAAATGGAGAAAACATGATTTAAACAGCTACTGTTCTTCAACGATCTAAAAAAAGTTAGGCTTTTTTCATTTTCTGCTTACGGTTGCTAGATATTTACGTCATTTATTCTACGATATATACTTCCTATATTATTAAAGACATCAACGGTATTATCTAAGAAAAAGAAGACAGATGTATCTTTTCTTTTATTTGACTAGTTCTAATGAAGATACGATGATAAAAAGATATGTGTTATACCCTTAATTTAGCGCTTTTGTATGATGAGAAAAACTTAGAACAAAAAAGAAAAGAAAAACAGTATTCTTTGGTAGTCATAGCATAAATACTAAAAACACCAAACCTATGCATATAACTAGAAGGAGAAATACAGATAGTACAACACTACAATAATGTTCTTGCTTTCTACAATAAAATGGGCTTTGATCTAGTACTGAACCAAGAATTATCACATAAGGAGATGACGTTCCGAAAGACCGGCATCAATAACACCACCGGTAGTCAAGGTGGCGAAATATTTTTCGTCAGATAAAGCAGATGCGTGTGCAGGAGTCAAACAGACAACTGCCCTTCTAGCGAAACCAACCACCACCCAGTCATCGATCACCATCACAAAACTGTCGGCGCCACAGTCGAGTAACTCAACAAAACGTCGTTCACGACGAGAAAGAGCGCAGGTGGCCGTAAACCAACAGCAATAACAGCCAACAAGCCAGGATGACGAACCAATAGTCATCAAAATCATCGTCGCTGCAATTTCCCAACAAGGAAATGACACAGACGAAGCGTCTTCCGACGATGCTCCCGGACCAACAACCTCAGCGACTTGTCGTAAGGATGACAAGTATGACAGTCCACGACGGCGACGTAAGTAACAATGCCACCACCAAAGAGAGCGGCGAGGCAGAAACAGCCTCAGCCATCTAGTCACCACCACGAAAAAGATGCTGTTTTCTTTTGTGGTGTGTGTGTGTTTTGGGGGTTTTTTACTTTTCATTTTTGTTTCTTGATTTTGGCATAAAGTCTATTCAGTTGGTTCTCCCCCTTTTTTATTTTTGGGGTTTTTCTTTCTGTTTTTTATTTGTTTTTGTTTGTTTGCTCTATATTCTTTTATTTTTCCGTTTTTTATTCTTCAGATTTTTTAATTACTGATGAGCTTTATTTTTAAAATAAAGCGAAACGCGTCCAACATTAATTTATCTACACTTGAACAAGCATTTTAGACAAACAAACATTTAAACCAAAAGAGCGTCGAAGCGTTTTCTGAATAGAGGACCTTTGACCTAAAACAGTTGAGACTTAGATGTGTTTTTGAATGAAAACCACTTATCTTTCATCTTCCTTTCCTCCATATATAATTGACAGAAACGAGTATAGACCGAAAGTCCAATAGGCACGTGCCTTAACCGTTTTTATATTATATTCCGATCAAATAACTGAAGCTAAAATCACTGGAGATCTTCAATGCACATTCTGTGGGAAACACCAAACTCTGTACAAATAGTTTATAACATACAGAATTCATTAGAAAGAGCAGAAAAAACTGAACAAAATGGCAAAGTCAGTTTAAAAGCTTGGACAAGACCACAAAACATTGATGTTTTAGGAAAAGTCAAAAATATATTAAGAAAATGAAGCTGGGTGAAAAAGTGGGAAATAACTGTTTGTTTTTTAAATTTTTGTGGATTTTCCTATATTGGCTGATTTCTTAGTCAAACGAATAAAGACATATCGTTTTTGACGAAAGTACCTGCAGAGGTTGCATTTAGGAGGAAAAAATGTGATTCTACTTTATAGAATTACTTAGAAGAAATTTTCTTACTTTTAGCTGTTCTAGAAATATGTTTTTGAAGAAAACCTTTAAAGAGCATTTGTAAAATATTTGGCACTTGTTCTAATTACATCTAATATTGCAGTATTGTTTTTTGACACATGGTACATTTTATTTTCATGTGCAATTGGCAACATCATTATCTTGCAGAAATGTTAATGCCGGAACCTTCGCGGGTACCAGACTCCGTTTTCGATGATCTTATGCCAGTTGATAGAGGAAAGTGCCCTAGTTAAAGCCTTAAAAGATTTGTCCTTACGGTACTTTTTTCAATAGTTGTGCATTTTTTGATAGACACACTGCACACTGCTACCTCGATGTGTGCTGTATTAGCATCCACCAGTTTTTAGACGATACTGATCCTATTCGATTTATACCGCTGTTTATAAAGGAAGCGTTTTCGAACATTGTGTTGTTGAAAATTAAATTTTACATACTACTGTCTCTAGGTTCAACTCTGAGAAATGTTTCCTTCATCATTACTAGACATTATAGTGTCTAGTACTGTACCAGCAGAGGAATAATTGGTAAAATGACAATGTAGCGCTCGGTGCTTTAGCAGAGGAAGCACTTGAAGCCACTAACAAATATGTTCGTAATTATAGAGAACATTTGGCACGTAAGATCGGACACATTCCCAATCTGACTGATGTGTTTTCTCGTCTGTTTATTAGATCTGATCGGATCGTTCGTACAATAGTGGATGCAGTACAAGAAAAGAGGGAAAGAAGTAATGATACAGCAGTTTCAATGTTTTCGAATAAAGACGATTTAGATTTGGATATTTTGTTTTACAAGAAATAAAGCTAGAAATAAAATTTCACTTCCCCTTGATGATACTTTCTCTCGTTTCATTTGATTGTATTACCTTTAGTTAAAAAAAACTAAGTTTCTAATCCATGTTTCAAAAATCTAAGAAAACTACATTTTTCGGAAAACTTTTGGAAAATCCTAAGTGCATGAGAAGCAGCTTCGACATCTTCGCCAGTCTTAGCGTGGTAAAAATTCTCAAAATGTGTGATTTAGTGTTTCATTTCATGGAAAATAAGCGAAATTTAACATTTTCGGAAAATCTTGGAAAATCAAAACTAGCTAGCACATTTCTGATAGCGCCATTAGACTCAGCGTCACGAATTACCTATGGGAAAGTATTTTCAGTGTTAGAAAAGTAAACTAGTCCAAATTGCTGCCTGCTCTTGCATAAATTGCCTACTGTGCACTAGCCATAAACTTAGCAAATTCATACTTACGTTAATGAAGTCAGTAAACTTTTAATAAAATTAGATCGCAATATAGCTGCAGCCCCGGCGATAACTGACCGCATGTCACAAAACCCTGAGTCAACAATAAATATGTCGTTCACTAATATTATTCAAATTTCGTTAAAACATCAAGAAAATCGAGTTATACCGATTTGTTTCGAAAAATACCCATTCCGA